CTAATATCGCTGCTAAAATACTTGAACAGCTTTCATGCACAATAAAAGTAACTACTTCATTGATAACAATAAGACATTTTTGATCGGATACGCTGAAAGAGAATATAATCGTTTATACCCTGCCATCACAACTTTGACCGAAAATGAGTCGGGAGTGGTAGAAGAAGTAAGCCCATCAGAACCTGAACCCGAAAGCTTTGAAATTGCATTAGAAAAAGCAATTAAAGTTATCGCAACAAATGAGGAGGCAACTGCAGTGGCAATGTCAAAATCTATAGTAAAGAAATTTAGAATCTATGTATAAAGCATTGCTTTCAGTTAAGCCTACTTCAACTGAAAATGAAAGAGTGTTTTCAATTTTCAAAGAAACCGGCTGTCTGATAGATAAAGCTATAAATGCTTTAGTTTTTCTAAAGGCATATTTCATCAGCCAGAGTAAGCTGACCTAATTGTTATGTATCTGTCTGTCTGTATGTTTAGCTCTTGCAACGTTTTCATTTGTTTTTATTCTAATTAACATGCTGGTGCTGTGTAATTTAATTATTTTCTTTCATGCTATTTTTGTTTAAAGTTTTAAGAAGATTTTTTTTCTAAATAACCAGCCAAAAATGGTGCTGTGTTTGTAATATAATTATAAGTTAAATATTAACGTTTTTTTTCATGTTTATTTTTTGTTTAGTTTAACAGAAGCTACTTTTGTTTATTAGTTCTAAATAATCTGCTAAAAATGGTGCTGTTATTATAATTATAAGTCTGAATAATATTATTGCATTTTTTTAAGGTTAATTAACTTAATTTAGCATAAGTTTTTTTTTTAAATATAATCAATAAAAGTTTTAAAATTAATTTGATTCCTTTATTTGAGAGGAAAACTACTGAATTTTTTGACGTTATTGGAACCTATATTTATTGACGTTATTATGAGAAAATGTACGTAATTGTAAATTTCTCGGCAACCCGAGAAGACTCGAGAAATTAGCCTCGAGAATTCTCGAGACCCGAGAAACCGAAAAGCTCGAGAAATCATGAACCCTAGTATGTACATACATTTGTATTAAAAACATAAATATTATTTGCGATCATTTATAAATGTTGATAACATAGACTTTGCATGATAGATTTTCAAGATACGTTTATCATACTTTGTGAGAGAGTGGTTCGCACGCCGGTTTCAAGGTGTCGCCATCTCTGAGGTCCCGGGTTCGATTCCCGGTCGGGTCAATGTAGAAAATGAACTTTTCTATATTGACTCGGGTCTGGGTGTTGTGGTGCCTTCGTTGTCTCAGATACTCCATAATACGGGGGCTTTAGCTACTCATCTTGGAATCTGAGCAATGTATGGGATGTTGTTAAATATTTATTTTTATTTTATATTGTGAGCACAATATAAATTAAATTATTGTTTATATTGCATTTCTAGTAAACGATTTTATAAAATGCTGCAGATTTTCACCCTGATCTTCTTCATAGTTGACTTTGCTTTTGGTCGACTGGTCAAACAGTCAACTCCGTTTCAATTTTTATTTACCGGTAGATAAAAGTTTCAAATACCAACTAAGAAAATTAAGTACTTTATTAAGTCGGGTCTATTTGTCAGTTGCACAAATGTTTTTAAGGTTTATTGACATCTTTAAGCTCTAATGAATGTCAAATTGTATGACCCATACAAATTTTAAAGTCGTCTTAATCCAAATAAAATTTAATGGACGTTTGTGTAATTGGCTGTAAGTTGTTGTCCCGCAAGGCTCCTTTTAAATAGATTAAAAAAATGTATGACTTACCTCCAGTTGCACATACGTGCATTAAAATTGTCATTAGTTTAAAGTGACACTACCCATATAGATTTGACAATCATTAGAGCTTAAAGGAGTCGTTTAACCTTAATGAACGTTTGGGCAACAGAACGTTAATCGGTCAGTAGCATAAACGTCCATTAAAGTTTAATGTCGTTTTAAGCTCTAATGAATGTCAAATTTGTATGGTAATGTCACTTTAAACTAATGACAATTTTAATCGACTTTTGTGCAACTGGCTGAATGTCATATATAAGCGGTAATCCCGCGACTTCGTATTCGCAAATTATAGACTTACGGCCGGTTTCTGAATTGAGAAAGTACAAAATCTCAACTGATTATTTTTACTAAATTATTTTTTTTTACGTTTCATATGGCAAAAAATATTAGATTTACCAAATTGTTATCAACTGATAATTAAAAATTTATAAATCAGCAATTAAAACATGTTTTAATGACATTTAAAGTGGCTAAAGCACGGTTTGAGACGTGCTCAACTTCAAATTCTCAATTCAGAAACCGGGCGTATGTCAACACCGTATGACGTAGCTTCCCGTGAGTGAAAAAAAAATTAAAATAAGGCCACTAGTTTCGGAGCCAACTCAACGCAAACAAACTAACAAATAAATATTATAAATAAAAAAATATTATTAGCCCTTTACTTATGAAATCGTTATTTAATATTCAGATGGTATTATGATTCATAGTAACAGCACTGTATTACTAATTATCAAGTCTAAACAATCTTTAAGTTATAAGGACTTGGGAGCTCTTGCGAAATATTTGTTTAATCAATATCTTATGGAAAGGACCCACAGATATGTCTTTTCAACATTAACATTTAAAGGTATATGGTAACAGGAAGTCTACACAATGAACGACACGAAAGCCATTCTTTCGGTCATCTTCAACCACTTGTGCGGAATGATAAGATAGTGTTCGTGTCATGACCAAATTTAATAGTCTTACTTCCATATCCATGTAAAATTTATATTAGCACCATTGACCATACAGTCAAGGTTCGGATTATTGTTTGTTTTTAGAGTGGTATTTTAAACATACACCTACCTCTTTGTTATAAAACGAGGTCCAACTTTTGTACCAAGTTTAAACCATTATCTGACCAAATTAAGTAAACACGTCTCAATGTGTCGTTTTGTCTCTATCATTGTAAATTTGCTTTAGGCGGCCTATCGTTTATAAGTAGATATTGTTTTATGCGGCCTATCGTTAATAAGAAGATATTGTTTATTTATGATTTATCTATTTATGCAACGTGTTTCGCCACGTTAAAATAATACTGATGCCATCTAGTGATGACTAGAGAAACTAAGAAATTAATCTACAGCATAAAATATTTGAATAAAAATATCGAGCCATAAAAATCATGTTAGGTTTTCGTGATATCAATGGATAATATCTATTGACTTACATAGTCGAACGCTGCGTAGATACAGTACAGGACCTATGTTATGTATGTACAGTCGACAGCATATCAGGTTAATTAATACAGGCCAAATTTCAATCAACCGACTTGAAGCTTTAATCTGTCAAACTTAAAAGTCAATATGAATTGTAGTTTGTTTTTTTGCGGTCACCTGATTTGTTGCCGTGTACATTAAACGCACCATTATCATAGTCATTTTGTGATAATTTTTATTTACCGGCTTTATACGTATTTTTCAGAAAATTACATTTCCGTCATTCAACAACATTTACTTTCAGTCTATCAGAATTGGACAACAAAGAAAATGCCAGAAGAAATAAACAACTTATAGTTTTTGGAAACAACAGAAACTTCGAACTTTCCAGTGAGATTTTTGTTATTTAATGTCCTTAGAAAAAAATTGCAATTCATCACACAAATAAAGCTTGTAACGTTTTTAATTAGCAGCGTTTGACAACCCTAGTTATGCTTATAAAAATAAACCAATAGTGATGCGACCGCTAGCAGACAAAATATTATTGAGGCACAAAATTTGCCAATTTTTATGGCATCCGTTTATACATGTCATTCATTAAATTAAAATACTATTATTATCAATAACTTTGCTTAACATAGTAATTTTAGTGGTAATAATAATGAAATAAACGTTAAAAGTAATACGTTATTACATGATACTAATATTACTAACAACCATGGTCAACAATGAATTAAAAATTAGAATCTCTCGAGTAAAACGAGATTAATGAAATGCATAATCACAAGAAGCAATCTGCTTCTTCACAATGTCTGGTACAAATCACATTAGTTTTCGTCGCGATTCATCGACGTGCTGCTGGCGACCTAAACACGACTATTACTTTTCACTTTCAGTGACCAATCATATCTAGGGAATTGTGTTTACGATTGAATAACGTTAGCCGTATGCGATATGCGTAGCTCAATATCATTTGGTCGTAAATGGTTTCATCCTATGTAAATTATATGATAGAGGGAGTCATTACCATGTGCACCTAACAATTAAGGTATAAATAAATACTACTCATATTTCTACAAGACATTAAGGCATAATTAAATAAATCAATCAATGCTCTCTATTAATATTTATAAAGTAATTAATAATTAACTAAAGTCAAATTCAATAAATGTAAATAAAAATATCGATACGTCTTCGCACGCGCCCCATCACTACGTTGATGATATGGTGTGGCGGCAAGCAATAGGGTTGGATGGAGCGAATCGGTGGGAAATGAAATACTCAATTATTTTCTCTACTTCCGTTCTGCAATTAATTGATATCGATTCCTTTGTATTCGAATTAGTAAATAAATATTTAAATTAACTTATTCGGTATAATCAGTGACGTTTTTATGTAGGTATTGATTTTAAGATATAATATTACATAATAACAAGCTAAAGGAAAGTGTGAGACTAAAAAAAACATTATTTTTTTAAGATAATAATAATTTATGAAAGCTGTCTACTGATTGTTTCAATATAGGTGACAAAGGATGACGTCATACGCAGAAGAATGTAAGTACATAACTACTTGATTAATTATTTAAAATTAATTTATACAGTTTCATTTTGAAATAAATAAAACAACAATTTATTATTTAAATATGAAATGCATAAAAACGATGAGTTTTTATTTTAAGGTTAATATCATATACTTTTTAATCATTACTATACTTATTTATTTTCAATTGCAATTGAAAATCCAAAAACATTAATATACTTAATAATAAATATAATCAATTTACCTTATACGATGGCTTCTCCATGTTTAAAAAAATCCAAAAATGGCAAAGGCAATCCAATAACAGCGATCACTTCAACTTAACAAAAACACAAGTGTTGATAACACATTTTCCATTTAAATACATAATAACATGTTCCTCATTTAAACAATGAAACGAAATGCAATCTTATTTTTAACTTTCAGCGTAGACATTGCACTAATTTTAAACACACCGACTGTTCTGAAACGGTTATTTTTCAACGGGCTATTTCAGGCACACAAAACGCACAGATAACATACAAAAGTACCTAAATTACTCGGAACTTATGAAAAAGAAAACAATAATTCTTTTTCGCGCAAAGTCTAAGATCTCGAACGGAGTGAAGATGATTAAAAGAAATCAAACAGTTGTAATCAAACGATTATCTATTCAGATAACTTTGGTTAAAAATAATAATAAGCACGAATTTAATTTCCTCAATCTCATTAATAACTAACGTGGCAGAATGTTCTTTTTTAATTCCACTTTTTAACAAGTCCCACTTTAGTAATTTCGAAAACGTCAAGTTTGTAAATAGATTAACAATTTTTATGGAGAAATAATCGGGCACAATAAAACAATATGGCGTACATTTGACAAAAATAAGTGTACACGCGAACGCGATAAGTACCCAGTACACACGGCCATTACCGAGCACGGACGGCCCGTGTCTGTGTATACCATGTTCATGGTTGCTCCGTATTTTCTTGCCCGCTCACACGCTGAGCTAGCTAGGGTTGTCCTAATTCTCTGAATTTCTAATTATGTTAATTAAGAATTTATGGGACCATTACACTGGTTAATTTTATCTTTTATAGCCAAATAACTATTGAATTAACAATGTTTTATTTTAGTGAGATGTCTAAATATAAGTTATTTTGTATTTGATATTTATCTTATCCAATCAAAATAAATCCAAAATAAATATTAATATTTTTAAATAGAAAACATAAAGCTACGATAAAAACATTTAAATATAACAAAAAATAGTATGTAATTCATGTGGAAAGCTATAAGTATGTCGGTGTATTTTATTCACATTATACATACATGCATTGCAATTCAAACTAACGATATTAACTAAACAGATAAATAATAATTCGTTCTTTATCAAAACTTTGTTTTTTATTATGGCCTTCTTCATTTAGTATAAAAAAATTAAAAGATAGGCTAGTGGCGTATATTTTTTTAAGGAATAAATGATTATAATTATGATCGATCATACATCTCAAACACATTAAGAAATATTTAAATTTTTATGTTCAATTCTTTTTTAATGAGAATAGCTAATCCGTGATACAATAATTGGAAAATAGAGACTACTGAAAGTCTTTATCAATCATATTAAAACCTCTTTATGGTATGACATATACATTATACATAGTTCATGTTATTTTCTTTAGGTGAAAATAATAATTATAAAAAAAATATTTTTAAACAATAATATAGATGAGAACATTAAATAATATTTCTACCATAGGACAAAAATATACAAAAGTCATTTGAATTAACAGTAAAAGGCATCTGAAAAGACTAAAAAATAATAAAAAAGCGCTTTCTCGAAAAACTGCCGGCCCTATTAGGCACACAAACATAAAAACCAACACATCCGCGCAACCAGAACAGATTTTTTTTACGTAAATAATCATTGGCATAGTGCAGTCGACGTGACATCAAGTTGAACACTTTCAATTTTACTGCCATCTTTAAATACATCATGTAAAAGTTTTAAAATTGATATCAGATTGGCAATCTAAATATAATGTACGCAGTACTACAGATATGGGTATCAATCAGTACCTAACCAGTCCCGCTGTCGTAATAGCTAATCGTTTTGTTAATTACTGGTATAAACAAAATGTTAAATATACCTTGTCCCTATATAAATTTAATTTTGTAATTTTTTATAATGTAAACACTACTTTCTTATAAATAAACATTGTACTACGCACTTATTCCCAAACAAAAGCAATAAATTATAATGAATAGGAGTGAAAGAAAAGTATCTAAAATTTTAACATATACCTATTTAACTGCGTTACGTAGGTATGTATGATTTGACCGGAATTTCGACTTTATTTATTTTTAGCCTTAATAACGATTTGAAGTGGATAGAAGAACTGTGGAAGAAGGTAAGATATCTCGTAACTACATAAAGATGTCTAACATGTCACCTATCAAGCTATTTATCAAGTTGTGTGTGACTTGTGACGTTTTTGCTTGGCGATGTATGTAAGTACCTACTTTAAACGAGAATAATCATTATTGAATTGTTAAATGAGTCATACTGAATAATGACGACGTGGATACATAAGCATTGTTTCTACATAAAGATTAGTTTGAATGTAAAAACATACGTCTATGTATTATTGAGATACATATTTTAAATAGTTTATCTATATTTCTAAATCGATGAAATATCTAAAATATTAACAATAAATAAGTGTATCCATTATTATAAATATATTTTAATACATTGTCACGATTATTAGTTATACAAATAATGTCCATCCTTATCTTATTTGTTCAAAATCGTATCATTTCGAACACCTTATGATCACGTAGGTATAAAGAAAATCTCACTCGCGTTCGAATTTCAAAAATAAAAGAAATTGTTCTTATTTCGAAATATGTAGTAGTAATGTAATTTTCGTGTGAGATATTCTTTTTCTAATAACTAATTATTAGAAAAAAGAATTTGAATCAAAACTGATTTTTAAAATTGGTTCACTTCACATAGTCAAATTTAAATAACTAGTAGGTAGGTATTTTAACTTCTCACGAATGGATAATAAATATTATTTAAATAACTTTTTTCGAAAAGCGCTAGTGTCAATTTTATATTAGACATATTCAGAAGAAGAAAGATAAAAATAATATGTAGATACATATTACAATCCATAGATAGATTAGTTTTGATTTTTTTTTTCAAATCACAAAACAAAATAAATAAATACAGCTATGTATAGGTATAATTTATTACGTAACGTACATTTAGCACATTAACATGTCATTATACAGATTATTTCTGATTAAAAATTGAAGTTGGTGTAAATATTAATCAAACTGTTTGAATGATTACAATTTCAGCACAATATTAAATTTTTATATTAATAAAAACTGTTTACGAAATCGCACCGTGTGAAAAGATTCACGCACACAGAGAAAACGTGTTCGTTTTTCAAATAATCCCAAACTCGTACTATGGTCGAATTGAGCCTTACATAACGGCAATAAAGTCGATTGTTGTCTATTTTGAAAACTTATTATTACTTGCCTACAAACAGTCCATGTTCAATATAACATAATGCGCGCACAAGGCGATTTTGATTTTTGAATATTACTTATGTATTAGAATTAAGAATGAAGTATCGTTATTTATTATGTAATACTAGCTCTCCGCCTGCGGCTTCGTCCGCATGGTCCTGTAATAGGTATATATATAAATCCTCCTTTTGATACATTATGTATCTTACTTAACCGCATTAAAATCCGTTGTGTAGTTTAAAGATCTCAGCGTAAAATATAAAATATAGGTAAATATAAGATAACAGCAGGTAACAATTCGTTTTATGATATGTATAGAAGAAGCTAGTTACTTGAATAGTGTCACAAAAATATTATTTAATAGACATAGACGATACATTAGGTTTTAAAATAGATTTGTGATATTAATAAAATAAAGAAATGGTACTTTTAGTGTTTTTGAGAATTTTATAATCAACAGTACACTAAAACCCAACTAAAAAGACGTATTGTGAATCTTCGTTTACGAAGGCCATGACTACCAACATACCAATCCGATGATGACCGAACTTATTCATAATTCAAATTTATAATTAGTCTTTTTATAATAATCATTACGCGTAAAATACATTTCTAGAGACCTTTCGACGTGTATAGTTTGGTAAATCAATCTTATTCTTATTAATCATCGGTTACTTAACTATATTAAATGTGTTTCACTGTATTTGACTTGTTGTTTCCACGATTTCCGCTCTAACTGTTCAATTGTTTTGTAAATTTACCCTTCTATGACTATTGCCAGCCTAATGTCAAATACCTATGGTATAGGTATAACTCCATACTGCCACATCATTAATTATATAATTAAAAATAAGAAAGATTTCAAAAATATATATTTGACAATAATTAAATAAAGTTGAGAAAACAAAATTACAATATCCTTTAATAAAATAGAGGTAACTTAGTCTGTACGGACGCTAAGCAGCAATTTCAAGCAAATGGATACGACATGCGGCGCTTACACACAGGGGAATTTAATTTTCACAAATGCGAAAGTTGAAGATGTCTGAAGGAAAGATATTTCTAAATTTAAAATAAAAATACACTGCATGAATAACATACCTTAATTGTTATTTTAAGTCACCTAAAAAAATATGCTTAATATTTTTTTTTATAACTGTGAAAACGCTGTCCACTATATTAATGTCATGATTTGGTATATTTTAAACAGATCAGATACATAAAGCTTACTATTTAATGAACTAAAAGATGTCAATCAGTCAAGTAAATAATTTAAGATCCGTGACTCGTCGTTGCGTTGGTGACCTAACGACGTAAGTTATCCAAATCTAAGTCACAAAAACAACTTTATAAATGAATTAGACAAAGGAATCTTCTTTCTTAAATCCCTCCGTGTGTCGGCGCTGACCCGAGCGCCACTCGCTCCGACCAAATGAATGTGAACAGACTCGTTTCACACGAGGTAATTTTACTATTTTTAATTGATATTATAATATGACTCTTTATATATATGAATAAAAACATTTAAATAAATTTAACGCCCCAAATTGATTTACTCGTAATTATATATTTTTTTTATTAACACCGAACGAAATTCAGTAAGCTGAACAGAAATATCAAGGACAGATCAAGCGATTTATAAATGGCATCTCCATAAAAAGCCAACAGTGCAAGTCGGACTCGTGCACGAAAGATTCCGTACCATTATATCAATCTATAAAAATGGAAAAAACAATCTGTTGCATGGGATTATTCTGTTTTTATGTATTTTTTGTTTTAGCGGCAATAGAAATACATCATCTGTGAAAATGTTAACTGCCTAACTATCACAGTTACTGAGATACAGCCTGATTTTGAAACAGTGGTCGATAGAATAATTGTTGTCATATTGTATGTAATCATTAATTCTATACCAAACTTTCCCCCTCCCCCTGACATCTCTCTACGCCTCTTTTTGTTGGTACAGTGAATAAGCCATGTTTTCTAAATAACCTCAGTATACGTTTACACCGTAAAATTGTGACCATGCAAACTCGGCCTTAATTTACCAGAAAATATTTTACTTCATTAAATATTCTAAACCAGTTCTTTATAACCACACTCTAAACGGAAATTAATTAGTAATCATGAATTTTACCTAGAACATACAAATTCTTGGATAAACATATAAAAAAAAATCTAAAATACAATAGTGATATAACAAAATACAAAATCGCATAATTTTAAGTTATATTAATAGCTTAATTAGATTAGAATATTTTTATAAGTATTATTGTTATAAAGTTTAAATATAAGCATCTATATTTTATTACCCTAGAAGAGAAGAATTAGAACAAGGATGATATACTGTACTCGCGAGACGCCAAAATATAATAAGCTGTAATGCCCGAGATACATAAAGTATTTGT